CGGGGGGGGCGGGGGGGGGGGGGGGGGGGGGGGGGGGGGGGGGGGGGGCGGTAGCCCCCCAGTTTTTTGAGCAGTCGGGCAATATTCAATCAACAGTCGGGCAATTTTGGTTTGTAATAAAAATAAATGGGACAAATTCTGTCAATTTAGTCGAAAATTCAGTCAATTTTGTGGTCAATTTTGTGTTGTTTGGAAAATTTGTGTGTTGTTCCGAAAAATTTTGGTATGTCCGGAAAAATTTTTTGACCCCTAAAATGGTACACTGACCGAAAATTTTTTGGCGACGGAGGGGGGGGGGGGGGGGGGGGGGGGAGGTCGCCGAAATAATTTTTCCGGAAAAAATTTTTTAGGCACTAGTCGGGCACAATCCCGAAAAGTCGGGCAAATTTTTTCCGCCCCCCTAATTTTTTCCTTCCGGGTACGCCCATGTGGATCCTGACACAGGGCCTTGCTGCATATTGCCCGACCAATCAAAAACATTTTCGTGCTAAACTTCCAAAATTTTTGTCGACAGGGGAAAGCTGTTTTGCTACACGCGATCTTAGTTAGTTGTTTTACTTTAACTTTCCTAACACTATCATGTATTTTATTTTATTTAAGTTAAAATCGTAGTTGGAGCAATCATCAAACCTTTATTTTGTTAAATTAGAACTTAAAATGTTCCCCATAACAATGCGTGGCTGCCAACTCTCATCCTCTCATGCCAACTTAGGCTTAAAGCCTGGTTTCCATATATGGTCATAAAAATAGAGTCACGATCTTTCTCAATGGTTTATAATAGTTTAAATACCTGTAAATCACATATAAATCGTAAGTATTCTCTAGTTATAAACACTCCGCGTATTTTCAGTTGTAAAATGTTGTATTTCGGAGATCGTGACTCAATCTTTACGACCATGTGGAAACTAGGCTTCATGGAAGTACGTTACTACGCACAATCCATGTTCATCAGTTCAGTTCCAATACATCGCTCTCTGCCCTGTTACTGATAACAATTACTTTAAATCAACATGTCGAGTCAAAATATTTTGAATACTAACTAGAGTTAAATTAACAAACCAAATTCTTGCTAAGGTATATATTCAATAAATTATACATGACAACGCATATTCAAGTTTTTGTGGGTTCAAACAGTCTCGTTAGCCCCAGATCTTTGTTCTCCGTATCCAGCAGACTCAAAGGCGTCTCTTTCTTGACCACAGGCATGGCGGGAAGATTTAATATCGTTATATCATTCTGAAACATCTTACCGATTTCTTTCTAAATCATGAAAACAATGAAAGCAATCAGATGATGTTTTGAGCGTCGTTTCCGTATCAGCCATGCTGGGCAATTTTGACATACTACTTGTATGCCATGCTACTGTATATGACATACTACTGTATATGACATACTACTGTGTATGACATACTACTGTGTATGTCATACTACTGTGTATGTCATACTACTGTGTATGTCATACTACTGTGTATGTCATACTACTGTGTATGTCATACTACTGTGTATGTCATACTACTGTGTATGTCATACTACTGTGTATGTCATACTACTGTGTATGACATACTACTGTGTATGACATACTACTGTGTATGTCATACTACTGTGTATGTCATACTACTGTGTATGTCATACTACTGTGTATGTCATACTACTGTGTATGTCATACTACTGTGTATGTCATACTACTGTGTATGTCATACTACTGTGTATGTCATACTACTGTATATGTCGTACTACTGTATATGTCGTACTACTGTATATGTCGTACTACTGTATATGTCGTACTACTGTATATGTCGTACTACTGTATATGTCGTACTACTGTATATGTCGTACTGCTGTATATGTCGTACTGCTGTATATGTCGTACTGCTGTATATGTCGTACTGCTGTATATGTCGTACTGCTGTATATGTCGTACTATTGTATATGTCGTACTATTGTATATGTCGTACTATTGTATATGTCGTACTATTGTATATGTCGTACTATTGTATATGTCGTACTATTGTATATGTCGTACTATTGTATATGTCGTACTATTGTATATGTCGTACTATTGTATATGTCGTACTATTGTATATGTCTATATGTATACAGCAGCTATTTCAATTAAAGGTGTCCCCCGAGCAAAGCGGAAAAGTCGAATACGAGCGCGAAAGGCTGCTGGGAATAGCTAATAAATTAATTAATTTTCAAAGCGATTCCCAGCAGCCTTTCGCGCTCGTATTCGACTTTTCCGCTTTGCTCGTGGACAACCTTAATTGAAATAGCTGTATGTCATACTATTGTATATGTCATACTATTGTATATGTCATACTATTGTATATGTCATACTATTGTATATGTCAAGTAATTGTATATGTCATATACTACTGTATGTGTCATACTACCATGCGTGTCATACTACCATACGTGTCATACTACCACACGTGACGTACTATACGTGACGTACTATGCTATACGTGACATACGACTATATACGACCATCTACGACCATCTACGACCATCTACGACATACTATATATCTACGACATACTACTATATATCTACGACATACTACTATATATCTACGACATACTACTATATATCTACGACATACTACTATATATCTACCCTGGTTCTAGAGGTTGTTGCTGCCGCCGTATATTTGTACGAAGGAATAATAGCGAGAGTAGGGCGGAAGATATGAGAACGTCTGGCAACCAGGGTACGATATATCCGACATACTACAATATATCCAAGAAAAATATGTCGAATGACACCCACTATATACTGAATGACAATTAAATGGAATAGCCATAAAAATATGTAAAGTTCTTATCATAGATCTTAATATATATTGCTGTAGTTGTTGGGGGGAGTAGAAATCTGGAAAATGAATAACTATTTTTGGAACATTATTAAAAAAAAAATGAATCTTATTCTATTAATTCTCAAAGCGTGGGTTATATAAGTTATGAATGTTTAAGAGGCAATTTTTTTTGCTATATTGCGTATGATGAAAGGTGTTCAAAACCAAAAATTGTTTTAAAACCAAAAATCGTTTTGGCGGTGTACGTCTCAAAATTGCTTTGTATTAGCTTTATTCTCTAGTTTATACAGTTAGCTACCTTTTAAAATGTATTTGCCGGTTGAAAAAACCTAAAATAATTATAGTCAAAAGTTGTCAATTAAAGGGGCAGTGTCACGGTTCTACTGCGCATCCAAAATATGCGCGAACTTGAAAAACTGTCTGCCAACAATTAATCAAGGTAGGAGTGAAATACGATATACTATTTATAATCCCTTCGTTATGCAGGACATCTTTGCTTTGTTTTAAAAATTGAAGGCTGCTGCATCTTTTCCAATCATGTCGCATTAATTTTAAACGTTTCTTTGCGCCGTTTATTTTAGCCAATCAGCGCCGTGTAAAAGTGACGCCATATATCTTTTTAGTCGGACAATTTAACGAACGTCGGGCAAATTCGCGGCCGCCCCCAATTTTTTCCTCTCCGCTAATGCATGGAAAATGTGCTTGTATTAATCTTTGTTATCAAAGAATTTTAAGGCAACTTAGTCTGGACGAAACTTTTCAGTTAAAACATTAGTGATCATATATACTACTGATTTTTCTGTGTTGGTGTAGTGTACTCAGGTGAATATGATGCTTGTGATGTTACTCTGAGTGTATATCCACACCGGGCAAGCTTGAAAAATATGCCTGGCCACGGTGGGAATCGAACCTACGACCTTTGGAATTTACTAGCCCAATGCTCTGCCAACTGAGCTACGCGGTGAGGTCGGTTCGAGTAGGTGATATTTCGGAACCGAATCTAGTTCCTTCGATCGATATCAATCTAGTTCCTTTGATATCGAAGGAACTAGATTCGGTTCCGAAATATCACATACTCGAACCGACCTGACCGCGTATAGCTCAGTTGGCAGGGCATTGGGCTAGTAAATTCCAAAGGTCGTAGGTTCGATTCCCACCGTGGCCGGGCATATTAGCGAGCTTAAGCAAGTAACGTTTTTGACAACACGGACGTCGACCGGAAGTAAAGTTGACGTTTTTCACCAATCACAGCCCTTGACCCAGTCTTCCGACGTTACTCATGCCGTTCGTGTTGCCAAAAACGTCACTTGCTTAAGCTCACTATTTTTCAAGCTTGCCCGGTGTGGATATACACTCAGAGTAACATCACAAGCATCATATACACTACAGTTCTACCAGCGAACCGTTCACTTACTCCTATAAGACCGGACAGGAGTTCTTTAAATATTTTTTTCTTCTGTTTCTCTGTTTGAATGTTATCAGACAATAACACGAGATCGTAATTCTAAAAAAAATACATTAGTAAAAGTAATTAAAATTTTGCCGTGCAGTGACGTAACCACGCATACATAATGAATACACAATAAATCGCTCCATGACCATGGCTAAAGGTGGAGTAATACTGGCAACAAAATTGCTGCAACTTGCAACAAAAATCTGATTTCAACGCATGTTAAGTAGAAATGTTGACACATGTTGCCTCGTGATTTGTAATTTATTTATGTGTAAACATTTTCAATGGATCATTTGCATTACAGACTAAATTTTTGATCTAGACAAAAATTTCATCACAGCTTGAAAGAGCATCACACAATTAGTAATATTCCAAAGTTTCCATATAGCCTGGCGAAATTTGCAATTTTCAGTCATTTTGTATTACAAACGGGAAATCGCATTTCGCAACGAAACTAGGAAAATTAATAATTGTGTGATGCTCTTTCAAGCTGTGATGAAATTTTTGTCTAGATCAAAATTTAGTCTATAATGCAAATGGTCCATTAACATGCGTAGAAATCGGATTTTGTTGCAAGTTGCAGCAATTTTGTTGCCCGTATTACTCCACCTTAAGTCAGAAGAATATTAGTCATTAAACACATTTTTAAGCGATTAACTGCTGACTATATATTTGACAACAGTTTATTTTGAGGAGAACAGTATATTTGCTGGGCTGTTTATGGATAGTGAGTTTGGGAACTTACTACGGCAACAGCAGAGTTATTTCCATTTTTGTATTCGAGCCAAAACATACACTACTAAAACTTTATTTGCCTCTTGAAAGAACCTATCTTTATTTCGAACAATCCTTAAAGGTGGATTTCCATTCGGTACAAAATGTCGCGCGATCGACATTTTGCGATCACTTTCTTTTGAAATCAAGCAATCAAACGCAACGGATGAGGTTGACTGAACCACAGAGGAAGTACATACAGAGATTTCACTTCAGGTTAATTTCGCGTAAGGGATTTTTTCAGTCCGCCATGTTCTTAGCAAGTGCCCTAAAGAGAGGCAGTCACCCCCCTGAAAACATATTGAAAATTTAATATTCCAGGGGGGTGAATGTCTCTCTTTAGGGCACTTGCTAAGAACATGGCCGCCAGCTATTTCGGTAAAAAAGCGCCTTACGGTTTTGTAATGGAAGTTACACTTCTGTATGTCTTTATTCTGTGACTGAACACATTTCAAAAGAATATGATCGCAAAAAGTTGACCTCGCTACATTTTGCACTGAATGGAAATCGGCCTTTAAGTAGCAATAGTCGGTAGCAATAGAACAAACAGTCCAAGCAACCTTGAACGTTTTAACTATTGGCGTGGTTATAAAGGCGTGAAATAATGTAAATAACGCAGTAGTTTAAACAACTATGGCGCACTAGAATGCTCAAGGAAATATAATTTGTTAGTCGCTTAGGGCGCTTTCCATTTTCCATTTAATGTCCTGACCGGTCAGATCCAAATTGTTTTTCTCTGTATGATTTGGCAAGATCTGATCTATGTTTGTCAAATATCTAGCGAAAATGGACCTCATTCAAATGTTATCTAAATTTTCCGGTCAGATAGGTCCAAAGCCGCGAAGCCCAAATGTTTAAATTAAACATCTGGTAACGGTAAACGCCAGAGTCGAATTTTGTTGGCAGAATTTTCGTTTAACTTTTCAGAATTTTCTTTTCAGAATTTTCTTTCTTATGTGAAAAGGATCATTACACATTATAGTTTTAAAATAACAAGTCCATTTACTCTTTATTGCCTTAACGTAATTTTTTTTGTCTGGCGTTTTACGTATATGGACGCGAAGCTTAAACTCACTAATAATAAGCGGTACACGAGACAGCAGGTGGCGATGAACTTACTTAGGAAATGTTCAAGCAAATTAAAATACATCTTTGTCCCAAATTGACAGGTTGTGCGTGACGAGATAAGAGCAAGTAAATTGCTTGATACGACTGTAATAACACTTACAGGGGCGGTCAAGTGTATTTTAACCAAAACGGCAAAAATGGTCATTTGTTTTTGATATGTTTCAGTAAAAGCAGATGGTCAATATTATTAGGTATCTGCCTCGTCCCTCGTCGCTTCAGTTGGGAATAGAGATCAGTTGAAAAACAATGGGAGCGCGGGGCTTAATGGGAATGCGATAGACAGATTAGGTATGGCCTAATTTGTGTTCGCAGTCACGCGAAGTTTGCCTCGAATAGAGTAAATAATGTTATCTTCTCTTCCTTATCTGCGAGGTGGAGCAAAGATGAAAAACAATCAAACTGTCATGTTGCATACGTCATAGTGGTCTCAAGGCATCGAAAGAACTAATTATTTTCCCGTGATTTATTTGTTTGTGAATATATCTCTCCATCTTCCTATTTTCTCCTTTTTAGGATCTGAGCACGCTTGTAAATAAGTCGCCATAAACCATAATTTGTTTTCTTTAAATAACTCGTATCTTGAGTTGACAAGCTGGCGTTATCATTTAGAGTATTTTTTTTCTTACAGCACACGTCGTAATCAGTAGGAACGTGACCGTAGGCGTAGTTTAATATATATAGTACTAGTGACTTCACAGAAAAGTATGTTGCCGAGAGATATACTATATACCGAGCCAAGGATTCGAGCTCGGAATCGAGCGATTGTAAGCAACTTGCTGCTTCGCCATATTGCTCTTCATATACTAACGCCAAACAAAGAATTCCGCTTAAAATCTTTCTTAACAAGCTTAACCTTACTAGAATCCGAGCTCGAATTCCGAGCTCGAATCCTTGGCTCGGTAAATAGGTATCCTCTGTTGCCGATTTTGTTAGTGATTTTATTTTTAATCTCATGAATGGACCTATTACCTAATGAACAAAATTTTGATCTAGACAAAGTCTAAACAAAAATTTCATCACAGCTTGAAAGAGCGTCACAAAATTAGTAGTATTCCGAAGTTTCGTTGCGAAATGTTGTAAAATGCGGATAAAATAGCTCTGCGAAGTTTGCCGTTTTTCAGTCATTTTCTTTTAATACGTACGGGAAATTGATACCGCTTTCTGAAAAAGAGTATCAATTTCCCGCGCTATAATACAAAATGACTGAAAAACGGCAAACTTCGCAGGGCTATATTATCCGCATTTTACAACATTTTGCAACGAAACTTCGGAATATTACTAATTTTGTGATGCTCTTTCAAGCTGTGATGAAATTTTTGTCTAGACTTGTCTAGATCAATATTATGTTGAATATGTTCATTAGGTAATGGTCCATTAGGAAGTTTGAAAAATACATTTGCACCTACGTTTAATACCGCTGCATCCACATTTGGAACTTGCAGGATAATATTCTTTAAACTTGGAAATAATGGACGCTGCATGAATATAAAAACAGAAATAAAAAAGATATGCATGAGGGATGCCTGAGATTGCTGAGGGCAACTGGTGCGATGTGTCATCAAAAGGGTATGTTTTTTAACAAAAGCTAGGGCACAAACAAAAATCAAAGGACACTTACCTCCTTATAAGTTCTAACATAATTTAAAACACAAACAATGCAGATACAAGGATCTGTTCGTGTTAAATCTCCTGTGCACCCGTTGCACCCATAGTCTGTACCCACATTGCACCAAGAAAGTTGTGAATACAAAAGGCAAAGAGTAAGTGCACCCGTGGTTCCGGCATTCCTAAAGATGTGTTTCTTTCACGAATTGTGTAGCCGGGAAAGTAAGGCAAGTACGAAAATAGGGCAAGGTGCGTTTGCGGGCGGCTGTACAGGAGAAATGAGAGAATTTGAACTTCCAATTTTAGTATGCATGCAAACTGCAGTACACACATTTATTTTCTTATATTTATTATAAAATTTTCCCTATAATTGTCAACATACAGTTACACTAGTATGCATAATTATACACATTTCGAAGACCCTTGAAGGTATATACATAAGAGTCATGCAGCTGGGAGATATCGCCAATGAGAGCGATCCCCAAGGCATATTTTAACATATATACTTGGTTATTTGACCTCACAGGCTGCACTATATAGTTATAGTGGCTCAGACTGGGCCCTATAAGTTTACCCTGAGTGACCAAAATCTTACTCTGGTGGAGCCTACCGCTGTACCCTAATCTTGTTTTTGGCCCTCCACTATAAAACGTTTAAATATGCACTAGCGATCCCAAATAGCCGAATCTTACCACGAGAGATAACAGACACTGGTAACAGTGATGAAGCACATCTACTACAGAGTGAAAGTCGATTATAGGGGTGCACCGGAACTCGGTTCCGGCCGGTTAGTTCCGGCCGGAACCCCGATTTTTTAGAGTTCCGGTTCCGGCCGGAACTAGTAAAAAAAGCTCTGTCGTTTTCAGGGAGATAGAATATCAAACGTTTTTGTGTCTAACAAAAGGTCACAGTAGGAAGAAAGTTGGACTACGGTACGCAAGGGAAATGTACACTATTAACACTTCATTATGACGTTTAACGTTTGTCAGTCTTTTTATTCTGACATTTGCGAACTCTCTACTTGATGATTTGAAGTGTCTGCTTGTCTGGCAGCGGACAAAGTAACAAATGACTATATATGGCTTAATAAATTAGTTCCGGTTCCGGCC